GGTCTTTGTTTAGGAATCTCCTCGTGACTTTTTTACTTTTTCCGTGAAAACTCTCGGTCCTTTTGTCTTCTGCCACTGGCCCTGGTTATGTACTGGGCGTTGATGGGAACACGGTTTCCAGATTGGAAATTAATGAGGTGTCCCATCCAGAGAGGCCTCCCTTCCGTACCCTGCTCCCGGGACCCCCTCCATTTGGACCTGCACTTTCCTACTGCCATTCTCTGGGGAGGCTGCGGTGGGCAGCCTGTCTTCTCAGCTGTCTTCTCCAGAAGATGGTTTCGGGCCCTGTTTTCCTACCCTCAGGATTTTTTTGGTCCATGTGTCAGGTAGGATTCCCAAACCACTGGATTGTGTGAGAGCAGGAGAAGCGCAACTGCCCACAAGGCCCTAGAGGCTGGGCCAGAACATCCTCCCCAGCTGCTCAGCTTCCACCCCTGCCTGCCCTGAGGTGTTTGAGAAGGACAGACAGATTTCCTGGGATGCAAGCTAAGGGGAGGGGGGCTCAGGTGAGGCAAAAGAGGTATAGGAAACAACACAGCATCGGCTAGTTGGTGGTGCTGTGAAGCAGAGATAGTAGCACTGACCGGAGAGGAAATAAAACTACAGAAGCTGAGGTGCCCCCGAGGGGAAAAGTGCCTCAAGTTGTCTGAGATGGTGCAGCCAGCGGCCCAGGGGTATGAGGCATTACCTCCTGTGGGCTTGAGGCTGCCTGGCCAGCACAGCTGACTTGGTGCAGCCAGCGTGTGGGTAAGGAGTTTCTCCTCCGAAGCTCTAAGTAGTAAGTGCTAGCAAACTCCTCAGGCTAAAAGTGGCCCCTGGTCAGGGCTTGGAGAACTCTGAGGCAGCAGTGAAGATCTGCTTAGAGCCAGATTGCATGTGTTTGTTGGGAACACAATGAACATACTGCAAAATGTCGTGCGTTGACATTTTAGGGAGGGTGAGCTTTGGTTTATTGGAAGCCAATGCTCTTGTGTGCATGTGGTTCCCCTGAGGATAGCATCCCCTCAAGGAAAGGAGAGGCACAGCCCCAGAAGGTAGACCTCTGAGGAGAGCTGCCAGGCTACCTGTGAGAAGAGAGCCAGGAGGTGGGTTAAGTGGAACTGAGCACTCCCTTCATCACCAAGACCAACAGATTCTCTTGCAGAACATGGACACACAGGAGGAAGACCATCCGGATTTGGAATGAAAGGGAAAAAGGGAAACCAGCTAAATCTCCTGGGGAAATGTTGTGACCACAAGAATGACTAGGTCATGGCCCTTCATTCTAGACGAGTTGGAGAGGCTCACTGGTGGGGAGTTCTCAGGAACTGCAGGTGGCTGACCTGGAAAAGGGCTCTGCTGGAGACCTGTGTGGGCTCCTTCCCCACCTGGGATTTTTGTGCAGTTCTCAGATCTGGCTCTCAAATTTTACTTACATTGAAACTCACACACACACACACACACACACACACACACACACACACCTCTAAGGAGCCTAACTCAAGTTCTGTTTGCCACAGCCCAAGAATCATGAGCACATTGTTTGAATCACTTACATTTTTCAAGAAGAGCCCTGGTGAATTAAGTGTTGGGCTGCTAACCACAAGTTGGTGGTTCATATCCACCAGCAGCTGCACTGGAGACAGCTGACGCAGTCTGCTCCCATGAAAATTCACCATCTTGGAAACCCTAGGGAGCCGCTCTCCTCTGTCCCTAAGGTTGTTCTGAGTTGAAATTGATTCACAAGCAGTGGGTTACATTTTTGGATAGTCCTCGTGTGGTGCTGTGGGATAATGCACTGGACTGACTGCAAGGTCAGCAGTTCAAATTCACCAGTCACTCCTTGGAAACCCTATACAGGGTCACTGTGAGTCAGAACCAACTTGACAGCACTTAACAACAGTGGTTCTTAGTATAATCAGGAAACTGTCGCTTTAGGAGTTCCTTTATTTTTTTAAGAAAAATTAAAGTCTGATATTATGACAGACCCAAGACTCTTTGGAGTAAGGCTGAACGCACTGAGTATAATGGGGAGCGTTGCCACCATTTCCCCTGCGTCTTACCGTGGCCATTGCGTCTTCCTTTGGAGGGAGGCCACCAAGGGCCCTCCAGGGTAGAAACTGTGCAACATGAAGGAAGGCCTTGTGTGGTGGTCAGCTTCTCCTCACACATGGGGAGCTCTAAAGACCCTCCAGAAAGCCCCACTAGGGAAGCATTATCTCAGAGGCCAGGCCTGGAATGGTTTGGCTGGTGAAAGGGAAGCCAGAACCCTCTTCCCCAGTGTACACCTGGGTAATGCTCCACCCCCTCCCTCCTTGCTCACCACCTCTGACTTTTCTTTACCATGACACACACTTCCCAACATTTACCTCAGAGCTTTTCCACTCCCCCCGGGTTCTTCATCCCCACCCAGCCTCCTTCACCCTTGGCCATAGACTTATCTGATAGGCATGCGCTCCACTTCCCTCTTCCCCTCAGCCTCGTGGCTGGGTGGTGTCATCCAAGGCCTGCCCTTCCTTCCTTCCTGTCTCACCTCCCATGGCTCTTTGTTCTCTGACATCTGTCACGTTGCCTTCCACACTGGCTTTCCCCCCTCTCTCTACAATCCTTACTAACTCCCCTGCCATGCCGCCCTTCCAGACTTAAGTATTCCAGGACATGCGCAGACCATTCTTCATTTTCATCTCCCTTGACATTCAAGTAGCACTTGATCTACACGCATGATCCAGAGCTCAGATTCTAGGGCTGGACTGCCTGGCTTCTGTGACCTTGGGTAGTTGTTTAATCTCTCTGGGCCTTGGTTTCCTCATTGGAATAAGGAGGTCATAAAAGCCCTAACTCACAGGGTTGTTGTGAGAATTAAATCATCAATAAATGGGAAATGTGTGGATGGTTTTGTCTCGTGGGAAATGCTGTCTTCGTGTCTGTTGTTGCTTGTGAGTACGAGAGATGAAGTCTCGCCGCTGTCATTTCTAAGAAACATTCTGGCTGTACTTCTTCCAAGACACCAACACATAACTCAAATGCATTGATTCTTCTACGGTCTTCCTTATTCACTGTCTAACTTTTACACACATATGTTGTTGTTGTTGTTGTCAGGTGCCATCGAGTCGGAACCGACTCATAGCGACTCCATGCACAGCAGAACGAAACAATGTTCGATCCTGGGCCAACCTCACCACCGCTGCCACCCCCGAGTCCATCAATGATGCCACCTGGCCGATCCATCTCGTTGGAGGTCTTCCTCTTTTTCTCTGACCCTCCACCCTACCCAGCATGACATCCTTCTCCAACGATTGTTTCCTCCGGACTACATGTCCAAAGTAGGAGAGACGAAGCTTAGCCATCCTGGCCTCCAAGGAGCACTCTGGCTGCACTTCTTCCAAAACAGATCTATTGGTTCTTTTGGCAGTCCATGGCACCCTCAGTATTCTCCTCCAACACCACAACTCAAAGGCATCAATTCTTCTACGATCCTCTTTATCCTCTTTAACACACATATGAGGCTACTGAAAATACCAGGACTTGGGTCAGGCGTACCTTAGCCCTCGAACTGACATCTTTGCTCTTCAACACTTTAATGAGCTCTTGTGCAGCAGATTTGCCTAATGCAATACATTGTTTGAGTCCTTGACTGCTGCTTCCATGGGCATTGATTGTGGATCCAAGCAAATTGAAATCTTTGATGACGTCAATCTTTTTGCCATTTATCATGATACTATTTATTGGTCCAATTGTAAGGATTTTCTTTACATTGAGGTGAAATCCATACTGAAGGCTGTGATCTTTTATCCTAATCAGGAAGCATTTCAAGTTCTCTTTCCTTTCAGCAAGTAAGATGTGTCATCTGCATATTGAAGGTTGTTAATGAATCTTACCCCAATTCTAATGCCACATTCTTCTTCATATAACCCAACTTCTCAGATTCTTTGCTCAGCATATATACTGGATCAGTATGGTGAAAAGATACAACCTTGGTGCATACCTTTTCTGATTTTAAACCATTCAGTATCCCCTTGTTCTGGTTGAACATTTTGGTCTATGTATAGGTTCTTCATGAGATCAATGAAATGTTCTGGAATACCCATCCTTCACAGTGTTATCCACTGTTTGTTATGATCTACACAGTTGAATGTCTTTGCGTAGTCAATGAAGCACAAGTAAACATCTTTGTTGTTTTCTCTGCTTTCAGCCAAGATTTATCTGATGCTAACAATGACATCCCTTGGTCACATCCTTGTCTGAATCTGGCTTGAGCACAGTACTCAAGGCAAGCTTTGTTACTAGTTAAGCTAAATTGTTTGGTGTTAAGAAGACTTCAAAAAAAGAAGAAGAAGACGACGTTAGAGGATAATTTTGGCTTAAGGATTAAATATTATCTCAGGCCAGTGGTTTTTGGAGTTCATCTACTCTCTGTGGCTCTAGAACACTTAAAGTCCTTGAGAACTTGAGAGTCTGGTCTGCATTTTCCCCTTTTGGTCAGGATTTTCTCATGGAATCTTTGATCACAGTGGTCAGTAAATGGTAGCTCCTCAGTTCTTCTGGTCTTAATGGCTAAGGAAGCAGTTGCTCCGAGAAGTGATTAGCCACACGTTCTATATCCTCATCCTATTCCTGACTCGCTTTCTTCTTTTGTTGCTCCAAGGAAATAGAGACCAATTATTGTGCCTTGAATGGCCTCTTGCAAACTTTTAAGGCCCTAGCACTACCCAAAGAACTATGAGATAAATCAGAAGCGGTAAATGGGTTATTAGACCATTTAACTGGGATGTTTCATGAAGCCATAAACTCAAACCTCCAAACCAAGGACCCCAATCCCATGAAGTGTTTGGTTATACACAAGTAGTCTTAGACCCTATGCTCTGTTGTTGTTGTTGTATATAGGTCAATCACACAACTTTGCCACTTCAGCTTTTGACAGCTTAGTATGTCTTTGATAGATGTATACGGAAGAATGGTCACATGAACAAAGGCTGGGAATGCCTTTTCCTGACTCCCTCACCATCTGTCCATCTTTGCAGATCCTCGATGAATGGTTTGGCCGGACCATCATCCGCTCCTGTACCAAACTGAGCTATGAGCACGCACAGAGCATGATTGAAAGTCCTTCTGAGCCAGTCCCTGCAGAGGCACTGCCCCCCATCTCCGCAGAGCATACCAGCCAGGAGGTGCACCAGGCTGTGTTGAACCTCCACAGAATCGCAAAGGAGCTCCGCAGACAGCGCTTTGTGGGCGGGGCGCTGCGACTGGATCAGGTCAGTAACTGCCTGCCTTTAGTTCAGCGCCCAGGCGTGACAAGGGCCCAGTCTGGCCAGCTTGTCCTTACTCTCCTCTCCTGGTCAGTGCCCTCTCTGACGCCGCACTTACCTTCCCAACTCCACAGGGACCCTAACCTTGTGAGCTGAGGCAAACGCAGGGTGTCAGTGGGAAGCTCTGGAGCCAAAATCCCAGTGGTCCTTCCCTGGTACTGTTGATCCAATGCTGGGTTCTCACCTCAGGTGTCTTACCTCACATCACTCTTGAATGCAAGCAGCTGACCAGTATCTAATCCTGCTGGTTAAAACAGAAGTATTTCTTCTTGTCCCTTACCTTCCAAAAAGAATCATATGTTTCCAAATATCAAATTAGTATAGGCAGACTTCAGACATATAGCAGCTTTGGTTCCAGACCACCACAATAAAGCAAATATCATAATAAAGGGAGTCTCATGGCACTTTTTGGTTTCCTAGTTCACAGAAAGGAGCTCTGGTATGTGGTTGTAGGATAGGCACTGGACTGCTAACTGCAAGATCAGTGGTTCAAACTCACCAGCCGCTCCTCAGATAATCCTACACTGGGTCACTGTGAGTCAGAACTGACTAGATCGTACTTCACCAACGACAACAGTGTATAGAAAAGTTATGTCGATACTGTAGTGTAGTCTGCTAACTGTACAATGGAAAAGTGTGCAATATGGAGAGAATGACCACAAGGGGACATAGGCATGGAGTGAACATGTGGCTGGAAAAATGGCGCCAATGGACTTGCTGATACAGGCTTGCCGCAAACCTTCCATTTGCAAAAATAAAAAATAAAAAACTCAGTATCTGTGAAATACAATAAAGCAAAGTATGAGAGGGCTTCAGAAAGTTTGTGGAAAAATGAAATGAACTCTTTGGAGCCCACTCATATGCCTGTTGTTTAAAGAAGCAGAGAGCAAAATGGACTACAGGACATTGGTTGTTAAAGAAAACAGTTACCAGGATGGCATTGATCATTGTTGTTAAGTGGCACGTTGGTTCCAACTCCTAGTGACCGTGTTTCTGAGGAGCGACCTGGGGGGTTTGAACAGCCAGCTGCTGGTTAGCAATCCAGTGCTTATCCTACAGCGCCACCCCAGATGCCCGTGATTGATCGCTCTGAGATACCACAGGCAGGCAGCCCTCTGGGACGTAGGCAGCTGTCACTTAAACCTGGTTGATGTTCCATTTTCAAGAGTCAGTGACTTTAGGATCCAGGGATTCTCTCCTCGAGTGATACCTATGTCTGTGTCATGGGATATTTTAATTGCATATCAGCACCCCCAGTCTTCACAGGCTGTGGGAATCCCTGTCTCTATAGGAGATGAGGTGAGCAGCAGAGCCATCAGCCAAGCCCAACCTAACATCTTTCTCTGAGCTATTCTTCTTGGAAAGATCAGAAACGCCTGCTTTTCAAATCTTCTCCTGGAGCTTTGCATCTCACCCTACCTTTTGAGACACACTTGCACAAATGCATCTCAACAGGCGTCACGGATCGTTTCTGCCCTGGGCCTCGGGACAGGTGAGTGGTGCTTGCACGCCTCTGTCCCTGCCTGGCAGAGTGGGCGCTGAGAGAACAGCATGGCCATGGAGGAGTGACTGGGAGGCATTGAAGATTACAGAGCCATTTCTTGCTGCCTTCATGAAATGCCCCTGGGGCTTGTGAAAACCCAGAGTGCTTTGTTGTTCTTGGCTCACTAGTCTCTCCTGCATCTGACCTGTGAAGCTTCCTTCCTGGTTCGCTGCCCTCCACATACATCTCCTAGGATGTGCTTCTGGTCCCTTTGCAGAAGCTTCATCCTCATTTGCCCTTTAAGGTTGGGAGTCCTTGAGCCTACCTCATCTTCCTTCTCTTTCTCCACACCTGCTACCGGGGTGAATTCCTCTACTCTGTGACTTGACCTTCAGACTGGATGCTGATAGTACCCAAATCTGTTTTCTCCAGCCTGACCTCTCTCCCCAGGCTCACGGAGCCTCCCCAGCCACCTTCTGGAAGCTTCCTTTGTGTGGCCCAGGGTCATCTCAGTCAGTGCCCATCTGTCTCTGAGTACAGTGAGAGATATCCATGTAAGTGAGTACTTTCTTTAATCAGGATTAGCACAGAGCTGGTTCCTGTGAGGCAAAGGTTAAAGACGTCCTATATGTCCCACTTTTCCAAACTGCTGGTCTACTCCATCACCTCTAGCGTCAACCACCTCCTCCCTCCTACTCTCCGTCCTGTAATTGTGCTCCGTAAGTCACTACGATGTCTCACAGAACTCACAAACCATTCTTACAGTGATTTATTAGGGAAGGAAGAAGCTCAGGCTTCGTATCCTGAATGTTGAGCCACAGTGCCTGAGCAGGACTGTTCCTCCTCGCCCCCTGCCACCAGCCCTACTCAGCGGCTTCTCAGGAAGGTTTTACAGTTCCTAGCTCCATGAGTGGGCTGGTCCCTCTGCAGCTGGCTGGCCCATTCTGTGGTTCCTGCTATCCTGCGTGATCTTGGCGCCTGCTGTTGTGCCTCATGGCCTCTCACGTCTCCCACATTATGGCCTTCTCTCTCTATCTCCGGGACCTGAATCAGCACAGGGACCCCAAGTTCAAAAGACACACTTCACTCCTGGCTTTTCTTTCTTGATGGTAATGAAATCATCCCATTCCATTCCTGGGATTGGCTCCCTTTAAGCCTAGCAGGATGGCAAAATGGACCAATCCCCTCATTAGGGTTCTATATACCTTATTTGCATAGTCCCACACCCACAGGAACTACATGCACCTTGTTTGCATTATTAGCAAGCTGCCCAATCCCCTGGGGGGGTCCCACACACCTTATTTGCAGAGTCCCACCCAGTGATTGTGTGGCACTCACAAGACCACACATGTCCCGAAGGGCCATCTGAGCCATTCCTTGCACTGCACCAGGGCATACCACGCACACTGTGTGGGGCTCCTGCTACCTGTTCCCACCTTCCAGGGGTGGGATGGGGGTAGGGGAGGTTGTACAAGAAGACTTCAAAAAGTTTGTGGAAAACTTCCATTGCCATCTCATTCCATTTGTCCACAAACTTTCTGAAGTATCCTCCTGTGTGTATCAGGAGTCAGTCACACTTACTCCCCAGCCCGTCTGAGCAGCCATGTGGCGCGGCAGTGCTACCATCCTCAGTACTACATCGACCATCAAAGAAGAGCATAAAAACAAAGTTGTTGTTTCTGTGAAAACTAAGTATTTGGGAAAGGATGAATCTACCAAAACTCTGCTGTTAGGATACCAAGCCCACCGCTATTGGGTCTGTTCCGACTCACCGCAACCCTGTATGGCAGAGTCAAAGTGCTCTGTGGGGTCTTCAAGGCTGTAAGTCTTTATAGGAGCAGACAGCTTCGTCTTTCTCCCACAGAGCAGCTGGTGGATTTGAACCTCTAACTGTGTAGTTAGCAGACAGTGAGGGTAAGGCAACTTTAAAAGAGTAGGGGAAGGCCTTGACATTCAGGAAGATTTCTGTGCTCAGGTTATTTCACAAATATCTCCATTCTTACTCCTTGAAAGAAGCAAAACTATAAATATACACAATGAATTATGAGTGGCAGTCATTCAGAAAAGACTGTAGAAATCCAATTAGCATGCTCTTTCAAAAAACAAAACAAAACAAAAACCTTACATTAAAAAAGCCAAAACAGTGAATGAATGTACATTTAAATAAATTAAGTTCATCTCTCTGTTGGCGGATTCCCCTTAGCCAGTTGCTAGAATAACTAAACAGCCACCTCTTCAAGCCCATCAAATGACATCATTTCTGTTAGAAGATTTTAGAGCCCTTATGCCATCAGATTGCAAACTTCAGTTGAATTTAAGTGTGTGAGATACTTGAAAATCATAAAGGAAGTTTAGATGGCTTCAGTTCCTATCAGGAAAGGGATGTTAGTCAAGATAGGTGACTGGTCTGAATCAGAGTTCTGTTGTCGAAAGTGACTTTAGATGCCATCAACCTTGGCCCTGCCCATTTATAAATGAGAAGACTGAAGTTCTAGAAGATTCAATGAATTGCTTCCATGAAAGAAATCCAGGAAGCTCTTTGTTCACTGTTCATCCATTTGCACCATGCTGATTTAAGAGAGAAAAAATTTTCTTCCAAATGGGAAAGAAAAACAAAGCAAAGCAAAAAACTCTCAAAAGTCCTAATTAGGTTCTAGTTAATTAAGGTTTGAAAATAATGGCTCTGTGTCCTTGAAGCGATGCCTTGTCGTCTTTCAAGTGCCATCGAGTCAGTTCTGACTCATAATGACCCTCTGGAGGGTTTACGAAGCTTTAAGTCTTTATGAGAACAGAAAGCCTCATCGTACTTTTGTGGAGTGGCTGGTGGGTCCGAACCAGCGACCTGGTGGTTCACAGTCCACAGACCCTTATGCTACAGGGTCACCACGCTCCCCAGTAATGGTAAATAAGGCATTTGTGTCCTTAGTTCACCTCTGAGTAGAAGTGCAAGGAAACGGATGGTGAAATTGTCCAGATGCCACCTACACGGCCCCACGACCTCACATGCCAACCTGGCCCCTCACACGTGTGCAGCTTCCTCTGTGCTTTCTTAGTATTGTTTAGAGTCACCCCCACAATGCCCTGTCTGCCTCAGTTTACTACGTTCCTGATTTGGGCTCCAGTCTTGAAACACATCGGTACTTGTTAGTGAATTTCAGTTAGGGGCTCCCATCCCTGATACCTAGGGGGCCCTGGGACTCAGCGTCAGTCTGCTAAGCCAGAGGTAACCGCTTTCCCATGGTTGCCTTCAGAGTGTTTGTTACCTGTTTGCCGAGTCAAGGGCCAGAGGCCCTGTTAACCCTTTCCTGGCTCATGGGACATATAGTGCCCACCTCCATTTTCTGCCTCTGGATTTGAGTGAGAAGTGGTGGTCCCGTAGTTAGTGTGTGCTGCCATCTAGTGGGAACCTGTATAACTGCGTAAATCTGAAGAAACAGGTCTCATCCAACCAACCCCAGTACCA